AAATACATTGTGTAGTGTAACCTGAGTGAAATAAAAGGCAAGATATACCTTTATCTTTGTGTTTAGAGACAGACCCCACCCCTCCACCACATGAAAAACAAATAAAATTTTTCTTTGCTCATTTGGCGGGACAGTAAAATCTCCTGGTGGGAGATACTACTGTCCTACAATTATTTATATGTAAGTTTATATTAATTACAGTGAGAATTAAAATTACTAACCTACAATCTTTCCATCATGGCGCTTGACAATGTCTTTAAGTTCATTGCGGAGCTCTTTATCTACTTCACCATGAATGAAGACTGATGGTTTTGCCCAACATTTGTTCGATAAGAGAGATTTCTCAATTTCACGGAAGAGTTCTATATTTGCATCTTTGCGGGATGGAGACTGAAAAAAATTTGGTAAATTAAGAAAATTTAGTTGCCTACTATTGAATCTGCTTAGCCACATTTTGTTTTCTAAAATTCCTCAAAAGCTATTATCTCTAATCTAAAGACAATTACCATGTCACTTTCCTTTTAATTATACATGAAGAAAAGCAGTCTTTTTCTCTTTCAAGATACTGTAAATGTATTTTTACTGCATCAAACTGAAACACACAACTGAAAACTTGAATGTGACATTAATGAATAATATAGTCTCAATACAAAGGTCCTCTGCATTACCAAAAAACAGTAGAGTAGGACCCTGACTTCCGATGTTCTGCACTTATAATACTGTCACTTTGAAATCAATCATCCACTTATTAATGCTGACCTCCAGACATGATCAGCGAAAAATATTTCGATAAATTGCTTTTAAATCATTTTTTATTTTACCAAACATTATACTTAGCATATGTTCATTTTATGCATATTATAATTATTACATTCATGAGGATGTTATACCCAAAGGGGTCATACAGCGCCCAGGGAAACTGGAAGGCATTCAGACTTGATTCAAAGAATTGGAGCACAGGTCCGGTTCCTTTGATCAAGATCCCCTCACCAGCATCAACATAACTCCCTTGAAGGTATGCATATATAGAGCTCAAATTTGTTTGGTAGAAATTGGACAAGAACTAAGGCTTAATATTTACAATTTTCTTAAGGCTGAATTAGTGTTTTGTAATAGAGATTAGTTAATAACTGTAGATTAAACTGTCATATCCTGTGGTAGCCACCACAGCTGCTGCCCACATATTGGGTGTGTCCATGGGCAAGGTACCAAACAGGGCAAGAATAGTGAGGGAGAGGGGCAGGAGTGAATAAGAGTGAGAAAGACAAGAAGGCTTTCCAGCTGCTGCCTGCCCTGTGATTCCCCTATTATGTTTCAAAAGTGTGTTCCTACTCCTGGAGCCTGACCTCTGGCCATGCTTGTATGGCCACATATCTGTAACCCCATTCCTCCCACATCATACATTCATCCACAGTAGTGAGGTGAATAAAACACCACCAGAAGGGGTTACTAGCCCCTTGCTCCCGGCATTTTAGACACCTCTTACGACACGCAGGGCTTATGGAGGAAGAATTCTTTTCCAATTCCCCATGGAGATAAGAGGAAATAAAGAAAAGATATGCCTGCTATTCCACATGTTTGAGACGAGAAAAAAGACACCAGCAATCCTACCATCATGTAAAACAAAGTATATAGGTCTCCATTTCACACTCACTTGGTAGGACGGTAGTACCTCCGTAAGTGGTTGTCTACCAACCAACCAAGTAGGTTAATTAACATGCATGCAACAATTAACAATGTTTAATATTGCATGTAAGTGAAAAGAAACAATGCTGAATGTAAAATATTAGGTAAATATTTTAGTTAAAAAAATGAAATTAGAAAGGAATATTAGAGTTGGAAATGCATCTTTAACCCTTTGACTGTCGTATCGTATATATATCTCTTACGAGTCAGTGTCTGTGATGTATTAATATGCCAAAATTCTAGCGGCCTCAAATCAAGTAGGAGAAAGCTGGCAGGCCCACATGTGAGAGAATGGATCTGTGTGGTCAGTGTGCACAGTATAAAAAAAAATCCTGCACCACACAGTGCATAATGAGAAAAAAAAAGCTCTGACCATATTTTTGGATTAAAATGCTGACTTTGAGGTGTACAGTGGAACCTCGGCTTACAAGTGCCCCACAATACGAGTTTTTCAGGATACAAGCAGTCGCTCGGTTGATTTTTTGTTTCTGGATGCGAGTAAAAATTCAGGATGCGAGCTTCCCCCTCAAGGGAGGTTCCTAGACACTGGTGAGGAGCTCTTGATCTAGGGAATTGTATCTGTGCTCCAGTTCCCTAAATTAAGCATGAATACCTTTCATCCCATCTTCCCCACACATGCTGTATAATCCTACAGGTTTAGTGCTTCCATATTATAAAATTATTATGTCATATTAGATGAATTAGGATAGATAAATAAGCCTTAGAGTTGATGTTAGCGTCATATTAAAGTATTCTGTCCTGCCTCCTGAGAGCAGAAATTCCGCTTGAACAGATTAATGGCACTCCAATTAACCCTTTGACTGTTTACGCCGTATAAATGCGTCTTACGTGCCACTGTTTCTGACGTATTTATACGCATAAATTCTAGCGGCTTCAAATCAAGCGGGAAAGGCCTGGTAGGCCTACATGAGAGAGAATGGGTCCTCAGTGGTGGGTGTGCACCCTGTGAAAAAAATCTGGGACTCAGCGGTGCATTGTGGGAACGCCATCTTAGTAGTCCATTTTCACCATGCCTCGTAGTAAGAAGTTCCTCACTCCTCGGCAGATTGGAGGTCTTTTGTTAAAAAAGCGACAGCTCAACAGCGATAAAAATACCCAAGGACAGGGGGGGAAACCCCCAAAGGGGTTTTAAAGGGAGTGTGCCCAAAAAAAAAGTGCCCGGGTTTAACGAAATTTAAAGGATGAAAACTCAGTGCCCAAAAACCCCTTCCCACCTGGGGGCGGGGCCGTTTGTTCACTTTCACCTGAAACCGGGGACAAAGGGAAAAATTTGGGTTTGTTACAACCCCCAGATGTTAGCATCGAATCCCGAGTGATAGGAAATTGGATTTCAAGGTCATTAAAAGCGTTTATTTGTGCATTTGGGGGAAATTATTCCCCTTAAAACGGCAGTTTTTAGACTTAGCATCGGTCTGGTAGTTTTTCATATGCTTTTCCAAAGGGGGAAGGGGAGAAACTCGGGACCCACACCCTGTCCCCAAACCCCAAAGGGACCTGATAGGGGAAAAAGACAATATTGTTACGATGGGTATGAATGGGGTATGGGGGAGCGGGGCGGGGTGGTGATAGTGATGGGGGTACGACCATGTGGCCCACAGCGGGCCACCCCTTAACCCACGCTGCTGACCGCACAAAAAAAACCCAGCCCACACCCACCCCCCCCCCCAAAAACCAAACACAAACCACAACCTGCCAACCCACAACCTGCACAACCACTTTAAAAAAAAAAATTTTAATTCCCGAACCCACCCGGGCAGACCGCATCTGGGATTGGCAGGAAGGTGACGAGTTTTTTCCCCACCCCATGACTTTAGGGAAAACAAAAAAGGGGAAAAAAACCATCATGTCCACTTGGGGAAAAATGCTGTGAAACTGGGGAAAGCTTTGAGTTATTTTTCGATGAAAACCCCCGATGGACCATTTGGGGAAAAACCCAAAACATACAAAGAATTTCACCGGGGGAAAAACAATTTCTCACCAAGATCATGGGGTACACCATGGGGAAGGGGAAAAACTGTGGGGAGAGATTACTGGGTTTTTTTTACAAAAAAAGTTAAAGCCCCCAAGTGTTAAACCAAATGGGCACCACTACGGGAACAAAGCCCGATTTCAACTCCAGGTTTTTTTTTACATTAAAAGGTGTAATCGTTTCCGATTTTCTGTTTTCGGGATATTTCCCCTTTTAGACAAGACCCGGGCCCACAGAAAACCACAGGGTTTTATAAGATCAGAAATGTGGTTTTTGACATGAAACAAAAGTTCTGCATTTTTTTTAACCCCTTTAGGAAGGGTTTTTTTTATGATCCTTTATTTTATTCAAAGGAAGACTCTCATTCAAGCAATTTAAACCAAGCAAGAGGAAATGCTTTGGTATAAAGTTATTTGTACTGTGTGATTGCAGAAGTGGTCTAGTTTTGGATATCATTGTGTACACTGGCAGTATATACTTTGAGAGATACCATAAAGTTATTGGTTATCTCTGGTGATGTGGTTAGAACAATGATGGAACCATATCTTGGTAAGGGGCATATGTTATTTACTGATAACTGGTACACAAGCCCCTTACTCAGTGATTTCTTGCGAGTGAACTTGACAGACGTGTGTGGCACAGTGCGTGGTAATCGTAAACATATGCCAAGGTTCAACGCTGGCACTCACAGAGGTGAGTGCAAGCCTTTGCTGCCAATGACATCATGGCATTTCAGTGGCATGACAAACGTGATGTCACATTGGTGACATTAGTTCACCGAAACGAAATGGCACACAGTACACAAATAAACCCGCACATAAAAGAGAGAAGCTTACGACGACGTTTCGGTCCGACTTGGCCCATTGACAAGTCACACTAACCAGAAGTGGAGCAGGACGGCTATATATAGGCAGGAAGAGGTGGTGGTGTAGTAGTAGTAGTACAAGAATGGTATATAATACCGACAAGATGAAATTAAGACACATGCGCAACACCCGGGCATCCCTATCGTAGACGTTTCGCCATCCAGCCAGCCACTGGATGGCGAAACATCCACAACAAAGACAACCAGACGCCGCACATGTGTCTTAATTTCATCAGTAGTTGTAGTAGTAATAGTAGTAGTAGTAGTAGAAGAGGTAGTAGTAGTGGTAGAAGTGGGAAATAAGGAGGACGAGCTAGTCAAATACAAAGGAAGGGGAGCACTGCAAGAGAGCTAGGTGCCCACTGAGGGAGAGCAAGCGCACAGAGGTGCGTGAAAGGGGAAGTGGTGAAATAAATGAAGAAGGAACAGAAACACAAGACAGAAGAGAGAAAGACAACCCAGAGGAGAAAAAGAAAGGGGAAGAGGAGAAGAAAAAGAAAAAGAAAAAGAAAAAAAAAAGAAAAAAAAAAAGGGGGAGTCACGTTAAGTCACAGGTGTTCTTGTCGGTATTATCCATTCTTGTACTACTAATACTACTACTACTACCACCACCTCTTCCTGCCTATATATAGCTGTCCTGCTCCACTTCTGTTTAGTGTGACTTTGTCAATGGTCCAAGTTGGACCGAAACGTCGTCGTAAGCTTCTCTCTCTTATGTGGGGTTATTTGTGAATCGTTCCAGTCACGGTATTGTGCCTTTTTTGTTATTTATGGCACACAGTGGCAGGAAACAACAGAGACCAATGAACCCATTAAAGCCTGAAAGCTGTCATGGACTACACCTCAATA